CCCAACATCAGAATTTATGAGGACCATTAGAGCCTCAGAGAGGGTCGTTGTCTGGCCAGGGAAGGCCAATATTTATGAGGTGTCACTAAAGTTTCAGAGAGGGCTGCTATCTGGTTAGAGAGCCAGGCATGGGTGAGTTCAAGRCACGGGCAGGCATTCCAAGCAGGTTCAGAATTTGCAGTAATTTATAGTAAAGCCGAAATTAGTTTTTCGTGGCTTTGTGGCAAGATGGCTCCCAATTTTAATAAAAGATCAGGTTGGGTCTATCAGTGGAGTGTTTGCTTAGCATGTGCAAAGCCCTGGGTCAGATCCCCAGAACTGTAAGAGCAAACAAAACAAAATGAACAAACAAAAATATCTATCTCATCTGTAGTCCCAGCTACATAGCAGGCTGAGGAAGGAGGCTCTRCTTGAGACCAAGAATTCAAGGCCAGCTGGGACAATAGTATGAGACCTTACCAAAAAAAAAAAAAAAAAAGAAAGGAAAAGATTAAGAGAAGAAAAAAGAAATATTGGAAGTACTGACTTGAACTTGGGGAGCGCCAGATTAACAAAACTTGGAGAAGAATTTTTTTAAGCATCTGTGAAAATACTCAGAATATTTCTCTAAGAGAGAATAAAATGTTAGGTCCTAAGAAAGGTCTGCTACCATGTGATCTGTTTCTCTCATTGGAATTTTACATTACTTATAGCTCTGCCTGTTATCAGGATCAATTGTTTCAAAACTAGCTCCCTACTGGAGGCGGGATGTTAGAGTCACCTCCTCCCTGGTGCAAGACCTGGTGGAGCTCTTTACAAGGAATCCTGATTAGCTGATCAAGAAGCAGTGTGAACAGGAGCCTGGACTTCTGGATTTGAAATAGGGATTCATTAACAGGATTGAGGCATCAAAACACAATAAAACTATTTACATCTAACTGACATGGTTTTATGTTTGTTTGCAGTTTTTGAATTGTGAACTTGAAGATAACATTGCTTCTAGACATGGCAGTTTATATCTTCATACTAATTTGTTGGCTAACACAGCAGGTAATATATACTACCCCTTCTCCACCCACATCCTGTTGACCTTGCTTTTTACCTCATATTTTTGAGACAAGATAGTTCCCAGAGTTGAGTTTGTGGCTAGAGTCAGTGAGAGTATGAATCTGAAAAGTAACGTAAAAATAGTATCAGTAAATGTGGGAAGCCATCCGTGAAATACAGGAGGACCTTCTCTGGCCATGGAAGCCAGGGAGGGATAGGCCTGGCACTGGGAACTTCCTGTGGTTCTCTCTTCAGGATGAGAGACTGCCCAATGCACAYGACCTTCCCCTCTGCTCTGCTAGAAAGGTCCCTCACAGTAGCACCAGAGATGGGCGTAAACTGTTAGGAACTGAACGCCCACCTGCACCCACCTTGATCCTATTTTGGTGAAAAATATTCTCTAGAATTTCTTTGATGTCTTCCAATATAAATAAAGCAGGGCTCCTTTGTGTTAGAAGCTGGATCCGTCTGGTCTAGTCCACTTGCCTGTTCTGCCCCTGCTTTTGAAACTATTTTCTGTGGTTTTTTTCCACCATTCTATTTTTCCTAGCTTTTATTTCTCAGCCAGCCTGTTCCACTGAGGGGAACCCCATTCCCACCCACTACGCGGGATGTGGGCAGAAAGTAAACAAAACAGTCACAAAGCTCATTTTTTTCTTTTATAACACTCATAGTGTAATAAGAATGCTCCAGGGCTGGGGATGTGGCTCAAGCGGTAGTGCGCTCGCCTGGCATGTGTGCGGCCCAGGTTCGATCCTCAGCACCACATACCAACAAAGATGTTGTGTCCGGGGGAAAAAAAATAAAAAATAAAAAATAAATATTAAAATTCTCTCTCTCTCTCTTAAAAAAAAATGCTCCATACATGAGCCCTGTGATGGAAATATGTGGAATCTCAGGCTGAGTAAGAAGCCTATTTTATGGGTTCTGATAGCATCCCAACATGCTCGTTCCTCAGCAAACTAGTCAAAGGACTCTCCTTCCCTACAGGTGACCAGCCAATCAGTCCTCGACATGGCCAACAACACATTTGATGATCAGTATGAGGGCTGTATCGAAGCAATGGAGGAAAAGGCACCCCAGCTGTTAAAAGAAGAGCTAAGCGTGAATGAAAATTTTWAAAATAAATGGGAAAAAGCTGAGAAAAAATGGAAGCAAATAAAGTCCAAAGTAAACTATCCAGAAAATTTCAATGATTTCCATGGAACTGCTATAGTGGCCTATACTGGGGAAATTGCAATAGATTTTAACCGAGCTGTAAGAGAATTCAGACTAAATCCACAGAAGTTTCAGTACAAGGCCTTCCATTATTATTTGACAAGAGCTCTTCAGCTTCTGAGGACATCCCAGTGTAACCAAGTTTTTAGAGGCTCTCAAACCAAATTTTATTACAGTGGGGCCGGTAGTGTACGATTTGGGCAATTCACTTCGTCATCTTTGAATAGAAATATAGCTGTTTCTCCAGTATTTCTTGGTGCTCATGGGACATTGTTTGTTATCAGAACCTGTTTGGGTGTTAATATCAAAGAATTCTCTTTCTACTCTAAAGAAGAGGAAGTGTTAATACCAGGATATGAAGTGTATCAGAAGGTCACCGTAAAACAAACTGGTAAAAATCACAATGAAATTTCCCTCGAAGCTCCCCAAAAACGAAAGAGTAACTTCAATTGCTTATATGCTCATTCTACTCCAATTCACAGCAAATCAAACATCAATTTCAAGAGTTCAGGTGAGTCTGGGTCTGCATTGGAGGTGGGGTTTGTGGGGTCATCATGAAATAGAAGAGGGTGCTCCCCACCAAACCCCCCTGGGRCAGAGAACAATAGGCCTCCAGTCCTCTGCTGAAGAGTCTCAGGTTCCTAAAAGGGCAGGACTACTATTCTGGAATGGAGAGCAGAGCTCAGGCTCAGAGACATGGGGCCATTTCTAGTCCAGCCAAACTCCAGTTCCCCCTGCTGTGCAGAGAGGTCAGAAAGACTTGTGAGACACCAGGTGGAATGAGCCAGGGAACACACCGGTGTGTCAGGGGCCAGCCATATCAAAGCATCAGAGGAACTGGGAGGCCTGCTGATTCCAGGCAGAAGGGCGTGGGTGCTGCAGTAATCCAGGCAAGAGATGAAGGTGCCTGAACTGAGTGAGTGGCTGTGGTGATGAAGCGGTCTGGGGACTGGGTCTGTCTATGAGATGTTTCTTCCTGGGGGGAAGACAGTGAGAGGTGGACACACGGAGGGGTGTGGTCAGAATACAGGATGGGGGACCTGGAGATTTCAAGTGTGAAGTGTTAACAGTTCAATTAGGTTCCAGGACATTTCCACAAAAGTGATTGGCTAGATTTAAGAGCCAGATGGATAGCACTGGATTGAGGAGTTGAAGATCTGGAAGATTTTGCACCAGARCAACTCAGCCCTAGTGTATGGGGAATGAGCCTAAGATGCTCACAGGACTAAAGAAAGAGAGGCTGATAGATTGGGGCATTCACTAATGAAAGCGTGGTTCTGGGCAACAGCAAGACCAGTTTGGATCTTTCGGTCAGAAAGAGGCGGACATATATGGATGAGGACAAAAGTAACTATCTTGCCAGGCGTGGTGGCACACTCCCGTAATCTCAGTTACTCAGGAGGCCGAGGCAAGGGGATTGCAATTTGGAGACCAGCCTGGGCAATTTAGCAAGACGCTGTCTCAAGGTAAAAAATAAAAAGGGCTGGGATGGAGTTCAGTAGCAGAGCACCCGTGGGTTAAATTCCCAGTCCTCCACTAATGCCCTCCCAAGTGACTTCATCCTGGATGTAATGTACTTGGTTTATCTTAAGTTAATAGCAAAGTGCTCCTGGAGCCAGGAGCCAGTTGTAAATTTCCACAGACCACTCTAATGACTCTGTGTACATACAGTTTGCTGAGAAACTATGTAAGAAAACTAAGCTTACCTTGGAACAATCATGGCAGTTACCACTCAAGGTGGCTGCAGTCATGTTAAATCAATACAAGTGGTCCACATGGTAGAGCACGTGTAGAGGGACAGTGCCTGGAATGATAAAGGTAGAGTTAGTAAAATCAGGAGACAGGAACCTCAGAGAAGACATACCAATAATGGTTGAAACTGGTTACAAAGAACACCAAGAAAGCTGTCACCACTCCCAGCCTCGAGATGCATAAGAAGAGCCACCATGAGCACTTTTCCCAAGTGGTCCTGGCTTTTAGGTCTCTATGCATTTATACCAATCATTCCTTGTGGCCTGAAGTCTCTCTTCTTTGACTACATATCAGATTTGATCCAAGCTAAGACACCATCAATTTCAACATGGTGATTGTCTTTCAAGACCTAGTTCCAATATCACTTCCAATAATAAGCCTTCCTTGATACTTTCAAGGAAAATTAAATCCTACACCATTCTCTATGGCATAGGTTTGGACTCAGACCACCTCAATGATAATCTGGCTCAGCAGCACTAGTTTTATGACTTCAAGCAAGTAATCTGCCTCTGAATTTCCTCATTTAATGATGGGTTACAAATAACAAACACTTCAGTAGTATCACTGTGAGAATGATAAGATTTTTAAGATTTATTGCTTGGCACATAGTTTTGCTCAACAAATACCTCCTCTTTTTCTCGTGGAGAATCTTGTCCACGTCTCAGCCATTTTGCATCATAATGGAGTATGACTCACCATTTATATGATAATCTCTTGCTTATAGCCTGGAGACTTTGTCCCTCCTATTTACCTGCATTCAAGGCCTGCCATGGGCTTGTCTTGAATCAGGGTTCCAACATATATTGATGCAGTAAATTACTTTTTATTGAGAGGCCAGGGGTCCAACCAGAAGTGGATCTGGGCTGCAGAGGAACTAAGCATCCAAGAAATTTAAACCAAATTTGCTCTTACACTCTGGAAATCCCTTCAAAAACCAAAAAGATGTCCTTGCAGTTTCTCTCTCCTTGGTATTTATTTTTTTTCTTTTTACCATTTTTATTGGTACATTATAATTTACATAATAATGAGATTCATTACACCACATTTGTACATGTGAGTAACATAATTTGTTCACTTTCCTTCTCTGGTACCTCTCCTTTTCCTCTCCTCCTCCCTCCCCCTAATCACTTTCTCCCTGGTATTTCTGACTACTTCAGGAATCCTGGGAAAACAAGAGGAGAGGCTAGTCAGGTTAAGTGAGTGCCTAGAGCCCAGCCTCTAGGGTTTTGACCTGTAGGTGAAGCTCTGAAAGTTAGGAGGCTATGTCTTGAGAAACTCCACACTGAAACCTTTCCTTCTCTCCCTCCCATAGGCCCTGTGTTCCCGCTGCTGCTGCTGGTGCTGCTGCTTGCTGAGCCATAGCCCTTGGCCTGAAGTCTCTCTTCTTTGACT